TGATTTAACAGAAATGAAAGGCTTACCATTAACAAGACCCAGCTGCTGACACTTCTTAGATGAATTATTGAACTTCTAAGAGTGAATTAACTTAACCATCACCAAGACTTATTGTCTGATGTTTCTCATACCAAAGTCAGTGTATTTATAATTACAGAACCAAGTGGTAGAAAGTAACTCCTTTGCTGCCTCCTCCAACACCATACACCCCAAGTAAAAATTTGGCTTTGTAAAGATAAAAATATGAGTTTTGCACCAAATTCTGTCAGTTGGAGCTTAGTCTCTAACTGCCTTTCAACACCCTGAATCTTCATTTATTTCTAAAACTCATAGGTCATTTCCAGGTTCAGAAAGAAGAAATCCAATTTATGGCAAGTTACATCTTCTGTCAATGAGATTACTACAGTCAAAGCTCCCTAGGGCTGCTCATGCCCTGCCAGAAAGCCTACAGAAGACTATTATTAATTCCCTTTAGGTAGAAAATGAAGAACCACCTTATGAATTGAGATAAAAGTAAAAAATATTACACTACTGCAAGTAGAAGCAGTACTACCAGTCCATGGTAAAAGCAGTGTAAATGTACAAAGCAAGAGTTTGAAACCTGCCATCTCAGCCACGGGGCTATCTCTGCTCAGAACATAAATTCATCATGCCCATTTTCCAGTCTAAGAAGGACTATGCACCACCCAAGGTGAATTCAATTCCTCAAATAAGAGCTTTGGCTCTGCTGAATGAAAAGTTCAATACCAAAAAAAGAGCTGGAAGGTTTGGAAGGGCAGATGATCACAGCAGCCTCTGTTGTGATCCTACGCATGAATATGTAATCCTATGCAATTCCCAAGCAGATACACTGCTAATAATGCTCTTCACAAGTCATCCTTGAGAAGTGGCAATAAAACCCTGAGTGCCAGCACACTGCCCAGCTGCACTGACCCACAAACACATTAGTGTCAAGAGCACAGAGCTGCGCTAGGCAATAAGATATCCTTCAGCCACTGACAGAAGAACCACAGCCGCCTGGTGACGCAGCCAGAACAACTGCTCAGCTGCCAGAACGAGTGAACATTTCAGGTCTTGGTAGACTTTTGGCTAATCTGTACTACCTGGCTGAATAAGCCATCAAAATGCTAGAATGGCACCTGCTTTCCCCTTTAGCATTCATCACACTTGCAGAGGTCAGCTGCTCTGAAGACTTCAGCACAAGACCAAGTTCAGACTCCAGATGCAACACATTCGGGAAAAGCCTTCTGGATTAAAAACACAATTTTTTGCTTCCTTTTTATTCCACAGAATGGTGAGATAACAGACCTGCTTATCCTTTTCACACAAGCTGAAAGTCAACAACTGTCCAAAATCACTAGAGCCTCTTCTCAAACCTCTCAGCGGATTTGAGTGCTTTCACACTGCTAGAGGCAAAACACCTGGGCCTTTTTTACCAGGGTTACTGTATGAGGAAGACAGTCTTGGAGCAAACCAATCACTTTTTGAATATTGTATTTCCCTACCAACCCCTGTTTTAACCCCTATCTTACTGAAACCAATCTGAAAATTCTGCTTCGGACATCGGACAAACACTTTAAAAATTAAGAAAAAGGGGAAGGAAAGAAGCTTCACAGACAGAGTCTCCAAGACCATAGGAGATCATTTCCTACATTAGGAAAACAGACCAAAATCGTAAATTATGATTATTTTTAAAATATTTAAGTATTAAAAATTTTCAGTCTGCCTCTTCTCTATAGAATAACACTTTTGAAATGGAAGGTGGTTGGCCATAACTGAAACCTGCTTAAATTTGAGATCTGCATAAAACATCTCAGCAAGTAGGTTGTCTTTTTTTAAAAAAGACATGGACCTTGGCAGATTTCCTGCTTTTCTTACACTCATTTCTTCCAGTACTTCCCACATTGTGAAATAACTCTTAATGCTATAAAGACAGTGCAGACTGCAAAAATTGGTGCTAGTGGCTCCAATGGGAGTGACGTGGCCACAATTTGGCATTCGACAAAGTTTCCATTTCTACATAGGTTTCATTTATTTTTCAGTTTAAAAATAACACCATATTTTGGCATGTAACTAGAGCTGCTCCTGCAATTCAGAAGAAATAACACTGCTGGCAAGCCTCAAATCTGTTCCAAGACAAAAAACTGTGTTGGCAGAACTTTTTCTAAAAGTTCTTTTTGACTAGAGGCAGAATTCAACACCAGCATAAATGGAGAAACTTCGGTGAAAACAGTTATGTTACACATTAAGTTTATATAATGCAAATATATTTAGCTGACACGGAATTTAAATTCTTTTGAACCAATTCTGTTTATCTTCTACACGTACATAATAACTTAGCACCAAATTCTATAATCATTCTTCTGTGAATACTCTTTTCCCTCCTACATAAATGGTACTGTGCTATTTACAAAGTACCACAACCATGCCACACATTTTTTTAACATAAGAGTTATCCAATTAGGATGTGGTGAAATTAAAGCTGCAAGATCTATATTCCTGCATCAATTACAGGCACAGAAGAAAATAACATAAATCTGACATTTCACAACTTCTGAGGGTTTGATTTTGCAACCTACTTTCTAAAATACCTTTTTTGCACGTCATACCCAAGGATTTTTTTAAAGCATGAATACAGTTAACCAATGTGCAGCGGTGCTTCATCAACACAGATCACAGCAAGATTTGACTCCCAACTCCATTGTAGCACAGACAACAATGAAACCATTCAAGTACCAAGACAAAGATGCTCATACCCCTTGGATATTCAGGATTTGGCTGGTTGATGGGTGGGACAAAGTACTTACAAGGAAACCTGTACTATTTTAGATTAACTGTTGAGAAAAAGTGAATTGAGTTCTTCTTGCCAGAGAGAGGGAGAAAGTTACATGACAGGGGCAACAGGCGGCTTCAATTCTCTTGAAGAAAAAGCAATACAAAGCTTAAACATGTAGATATTCCTAAAGCCAAGTTCTAAGCACAGCTTGCTCACTCTATCCTAAATACAATTGACTTAACTCTAAATACAGTTGTGTGAGTATTGCATCGAAATCTTCGGTGTTTTGCCTTTTTGTCAAACTATGCTTTTTTTTTACATTTTGTTATACTGTCACTGAAAAAAAAATTATAAAGAAATGTAGACTGAATTTATTTACCTTCAGATTCTTAAGCATTTGTATCCAATGCACCACAATTAATGAACTGCTTCACATAATTCAACTAAGCACAACTAACACACCTTTAAAGGTCCCTTCCAACCCAAACTATCCTATGATGTGCAACACTAGATTGTACGAGTCAGTCTGCCTACATGTAAGGTATCTTTTCAATAAAATATACCACTTTAGATGTCCATTGACTTAAAACTATTCAACAAATAAAAAGAAAGGTTAAGAGGTGATACTTATGCTCAGACCACAAAATAATGCAGTTAATTTGACCACCAATATAATTAATACAATGACCAGATAAGTACTGTGAGAACTCCAAATAAACTTAATATGCTTTATATGTAAGTAAAAACTAAATAGAATATGAACTAAACTTGAGGTCTGGAATTCCAACCAGTAGTCTCACTGAGAACAAATTACACAAAATTTTCAGCATAGTGTGCCTAAGGATTGATGTCACAAAAATCAGACCTTCAGAAATTTAAGGCAAATTTGCCACCAAGGAAAACACATCAATCATCTTTTTATTTCCCCTGTAGAAATGTACTACAGGTGTTTCAGAAAGACATTGATTTTCAAAAATAAGTGGTCTGTTTCTTTCCATACATTACCAAGTGTAACAGAGGCACATTTTTATTTAGGCTAAATCATGCCTTATGGGATACACTTAGGAGGAGGAAAAGAGGACATACAACTGGCATTTGAGACATATTGCCAGTGCAAAGCTGCCAAAAGCACACAGCAGGGAGCATGTTTTGGCTATCCATGAGCAGAATAAGCATGCACTCCTTAACCACTGCCAGCTGGCATTTGTTTCCAAATACAGAATGCTCACTAGGCAGTTTGGAGACTGGACATACTCCTAACCTTAACTATGCTCCCATAAAAATGTGATGCTGAGATACCTCATTAACCATGCCTCTCTCTTAGCTGACTGCCAAATGAGAGAGACTGAATGACAAACAAAAAGGATACATTTCTCCCTATGCACAAAAAAGCACTTAAAGTATATCCTAACATACTCAAGTACTTACAGTAGAAGAAAGATTTTAAGAGTGTTGGAAGAAAATTCTGCCAGAATCTCAAAAAGCAGAAACACTGCCACGGTCTATTGTACATCGATAGAAAAAGTGAAATCCAGAGGCACAGAGTACCAAGAAAACATAGCAATGTATAGAAAGAGTGGCTGGCACTGTGATTATAAACTGCACTATCATGTTTAATACAACCTCCAGCACTCCTCACAACAGACGCTCCCTGCTTTATGCGCTGGGGCAGATTTGTGGGTAGAAGATTAATGTCCCCCTCCATCTGTTAATGACTATATAGGTCCCCTGGGCTTTGCACCAAGGGTACTTTGCCCTTAGGATGGAACAAGAAATGGGAATCTGTGTTTGTTACAACATGCACTTACTATTTCCAGCAACACTAGCAATTGCTAGATGTGTATATTATTTCAACTTTATCTACCAAAACCATATTTTATCATGGTAGCTCAACTGTGGTTCCAAGTAGATTTTCAAAGAGATCAGTTAAAAGGAGAACAAACCAATGGGGGTGGTGGGGGCACTTTTCACTTTCAAAGTGCTTTCCTGACACATAGAGCCTACATCAGTATTTGCCCTGTAAGTGCTCTATTCATTTAACTTTGCACTAGAATTTCAAAGTGACTCCACTTTTTGGATTTCCCTTTCTCTATCACTGATATCCTGCTGTCATGGACCGAGCAACTCACAAGGAAGAAATGTACCAGACTGCCATGCAAAGGAGAGGGCACTAATTAAAGTCTTCATTTCCTTCAGGGGGTTCTGAGAGTGGATTTTAACTTACCCCTGTTAACTGTACCTTTCCTCCTGAGACCTGGAGGCAAGTCAGAAGCAGCTTGACACCAGCACAGTCTTCGTGGACCTAAGCCAGTTTGATATCCTGGAAGAATACAGGGAAAGAACTGTTACAAAAATGATGTTCTGAAGGAATGAGGCAAACATAGTCACCACTAGAACCATGATACTCAGAGCAAAATCAGAGAAAATCTTAACAGTATCTCCAATATCCATAAATGAGAAATCAAAACCAGAGTGTTGCTTCACTAAAATCTCCAAATGTGGTGTCTCAGGTTTGTTTCATGCTTCCTTTCTTCCTTTTCCCACCCCTATCAATTGCAACACTGACCTCAATTCCGTCTCAAGGAAGAAATAGTTGCCCCTGCCAAAATTCCCTGTGAGCACCAAAGGGAGTTCCAGGGGCAGCCAACCACGTTTACATTAATACCAAGCATATTTAATCAACTTCTCCCTGTTTACTCAGCTCAACTTTGGAAAAAGCTGGAACACCTTTGCAGCTGAACCATCCACACAAGAATATTTTACCCTCTTTTTGAAAAAGGGAGATGCAATTTCAGCGCATGACCTCTACCAATCCTTTTGATCCAACTGGGCACTGTTTCTCACAAACCATTCCTGCCCAACAAGAAAAGCAGGACAAGACCATAGTCAAAAGGGGAAAAGAAAGAAAAATGGAGAAGAAATTGCTCTGTACTGTCCATCATCTTCAGCAGAGAATTTCCTGGTCTCAAATGCTACCAGAGTGAAGAACCTGCAGCCACAAAAGACAATTTTTTCCCTCTATACCAGCAGCAGTACAAAACAATGAGTGTTGAACTAACAAAGGGCTCTGCCTGTCTAGGCCTTAGTACTCATAGCATTACTCTGAAAACACTTCTCTACTGGCTTCCCAAATAAGAAAATACTCCAAATCTAAGATACACACTTAATGTTGTTAAAATTCATTGTAAAACACAACCAAAAAATCCAGCCTGATTTGTATATATTTTGTTTCTGTAACGCAATATTGTTAGAATCAACAGAGTTGCTCCCAGATTTCTCATCTGAATCTAGTGATATTTAGCCTTTTTCTTATGCTTCCTTAAGAAGCCATGCATTCCACCTTTCATTTGAAAATTAAAGGAATCATCTTTTCCTTTAATCTTTGTGCAATAGAGGAAAACACATTCTGAGTATGATTTAAATACACAGAGCAGGTAAAAGGGATTCAATGCCAATATTTCTTGATTAAGTCCTTCTCAGGTCCTTTTGGAAGTCTGACTTAGAGACAAAAAGTTTGAAATTCAATGCTAAAAAAATAATAAAATATATAGAGTTAAGAATATTAAAGACAAAAGCAAAAGGAAGGTAAGGGACGGAGCAAAGAGCTGCAGTTTCCCTTTCCTGTAGGGAGTACAAGATAGCACAAGGTAACACATCTCCTTCTGAGCAACAGCTTGCTTTCCTTACTGCGCCTCCTCAAGTGCCATCCTATGGCCTGCACAGGTAGGCAGCCCCTGGAGAGAAAAGCCACTGAAGTCTGTGCATCCTACAGAGCACTGACAGCAATCATTCAAGCTTTTATACAAGCCCCTGTACCTCTGCAGAAAGGCTGCTCTCAATCTGGCCTCCACAGAAAATGCAGCAGCCTAGATTGATAACATCTAGTCACCCTGCTGCTGATTAGACAGAGACTGTCTCTGACAGACTCTCTCAACAGCTGAACAGGAGTCTTTAGCCTGAGCCACAGCTAACACATCTAACTCAACCACTGGGAAAACACATTTAATGTCAATTGCAAAAAAAATCCCAAACATATCTGTTTGGGGGAAGAGCAGGGGAGTTACTGTTGCTTATTTGTGGAGAAGAAGGGAGGAATGTATCATGTCTGCACACATACACAGACTTATGTCTCACACATGGGTACGGGATAACAAATACAGCTTGTTCTCCACTACAGAATTTTCCACTTTGAACATATAGACATCAATATATAAAGTTCATGTTATTTCAGTGAGACACTTCTTGAATGAATAACGCTGGCAGGATGACAATTCATGTACCACACATTCTTTGGTCATCACTAACTCAAGGACAAATTGAAGTCTGAAGGCCAAATATATGGGAATTTCTGGTGACATCACTAAGACCTCACACAGATGCCTGAGACATGTAATGCTGGTATTTTGCCCACCTTTGCACCAAATTAGTTCTGAGAAATGACTCAAAAAACAAACAGTCAAACATCATGCCACAGCTAACAAGAGTGAGCAACCCATCAATGGAGAGTACTCTCATCACGTCAGGAACAAAGGACATGTGAACAATCAATCTTAGAAAGTTTTAGTAGCCATTCTGTCAGGAAAAAAAAAAAAAAACAAACACAACAACCCAATATTTCTTTATCAAAGTATAAGAGTTATCAAATTTAGTATGTTATATACCTTCCCAGACTTGTGAAGAACTCACCAACAGTACCCACAGCCAAGTCCAGCAAAGACTACCACTTGATCTGTGTCACATTTATTTTTCAGAGTTATTCTCAACACACAGCAGCAAGACTGTGACTAGTCAGGACAGCAGCAGCACTTTGCCCCACAGTTTAAACTTGCTCCTTTGCAGGTGTTCTTTATCCATTTTTATTCAAAATTAACTTGGCCATGAGTACTACACAAAGGGCTCCTCTGATCCCACAAACAGTTCTTTTTTCCTAGGAATATAATTTAAAAGACTATTTAGAATAACTTTTACTATACTTATTTTCTCTGCAGGAAATCTTCTCACAGAATCAGAATTATTTAGGCTGAAAAGGACCTCTAGAGGCCATGTCCTCCAATTCCCAGTCAAAGCAGTGCTGATCTCAAAGTTAGAACAAGTTGATCAGAGTCTTGTCCAGTCATGTTTCTAAATCTCCAAGGTCAAATCTCACAACCTTCACAGACCTCTGGTCACAGTTTAACTATTCTGATTGTTAATTCTTTTTCCTTACGCCCAGCCAGAATTGCTCTGTTTCTATATGTGACAACTGCACCTCACCCTTGCTCTGTACACCTCAGAGAAGAGCACTGTTCTCTGTTCCAAAACAGACTACTAGGAAATGGAAGGCAAAAATTCACCTTCATCTTCTAATCTCCAGGCTGGAAAAACCCAGATCCCTCAGCATCTCCCTGTATGATGTGTACTCCAGACACCAACTGAAACAAGGTGGCTGCTCCAGATTAAAACTCTTTAAATTATTTATGAAAATGTAACAAAGCCTTTCACATATCTCACCTGCATCATACAACATTACTTTACAGGTCCCATGAGGCAGACAGGACGATTGGTACCTTACTTTCTGATCCCAAAGAAAGTTCTGAGGACAACCTCAGAGGAACAGCAAGCATAAAGGATTTGATAAGATGATGCACAGAGTGGCATCTCAGATCACCTAAACACACTCTGGAACAGCACTTTTTTAAGAGTACAAAGAAAAAAAAAATCAACATTTAAAAGAAGTTTAATGTGGTTTAGAATGTAGCTATACAGCTTCCTGCAGTTGACCCCAGAAAAATAAAAGACATGTGATGTGTAACTTCCTTTGACTTTTCTTTGAACTCTTGATAGAAGTTCCTGCTTTAAAGAGCAGGATTTTTTTTATTAATTGCTTTTACAATTTTCGTTAATATTTCCAATAGTACCTAACACTAAAGTATCTGCATGCACCAATTCCATGAGTTAGAACACCCTGTCAAAGAAAAACAGTTTCTAATCTTTATTTTGAGAGAGGGTGCACTGCATTACTTTGATGAAATGAGCAATACCCGCCCCTCACTTGACCCTGTTAATTCCAAAGCATTTGCAGAGAATCTAGACATAGGTCAAAACAGATACAAGAAAAAGGATACATAAGAAAAAGATCTGTTACCCTGAGTTACTGAGAGCACAATTCCATGCATGGCAGCACAAAGCCTGCCCTCACAGGGCATGAATCAGGTTTCATCGAGACCCAAGGAAGTCAGCTTTCTATACAACTTCATAGGATGTTCCCCATATGCAAGAATGGGTTTAATAAAGATTTTATTTATTATTTATTTAGAGCTTGTCATCTATTACTTGGCTACATATTGCTGCCACAGGGAGAAGCTTTTCATATCTGCCTAGATAAGACCTAAAACCTCTGAAATCATGACCGCCAAACACACCAACAATCAGCAGCCCCAGATCTTAAGATTAAGCTGTGCAAGTTCAAAATCTGTACCCTTACCAGACGCAGCAGTTCCACCCAAGAACATAACATGCATTAACACTGAAAAATAGCTGTGAAACTATTTATACAGACAAACACACCTGTATACACATTTGTGCATACTGTTGGCAGAATTGTGTACATTACACACATGCCCCATACTGCACACATGACCTTCAGCAATTTAAGAACAGTAGCAAACAGCAGCGTCTGCAATATTCTGCATGCATGATGGAAAAGCCATGGCAAACACGCCAGAGCTGTCACATGGCGATGGCACCTCAGCAGTGAGCCTGCTGCAGCTCTGGAACAGCAGGAGCACCCAGCCCCAGGTGCCCTCCTCCAGCTAGACACAGGGGACAAGTTGTAGCAGCACTGCATGAGAGGTAAAAGAGAAACCAGTGTCCCTCCAGAGAGAGGCACGAACACACACACAATGGCACAGGACTCAGCTCTGAAGTTTCCACATGACCTGGAAAGGTTTTGCCATCACCTATGTAAGAAAAAGAACAAAACCCACTCTATGTGCAAAGCTTTTTAATGCCTCCACAACTGGCACTTATACATCTCCAGGTTGGGGTTTTCTCCCCTCCTTTCATCCTATCCTCTCCATTCAGCTTATGTAGAGACCACCTCCAGAGTGCCATGCTAATTAGCAACAGCTTGCACGCTTTATTAAAACTAAAAATAACCCCAAAAAACCTAGTGAAAAGAAAAATTGAATGAGCACATATGCATTTCATCATTTCAGTAATATTGGTGTTATTTTAATTATACTTAAATAATTTTAATTGTGATCTGAGCAGCAGACTAGCTATAATTGCTGAAAAATAGAGTTATAAACGAAACATAAGGTCTATTGCCTTACAGACTTGTTATAAAGTGCTACAAAAATATATATGTCTGTAACCAAAACTAACAATAATAAGCTCACTGTGTAAGGACAAAACAAAGAGGTGAACAGTAGAGGAATGTTCAGCTGGTGTAGCAAATAAATCCAAAACCTACTAAGTATAACTTCAACAAACTAAATAAATATTTAATAAAATTAAGTTCTTTTTAGTTTCACTAACATGAGTAAGTCTAAAAAGAGGAAAAAACACATTCTTTACAGTTCTACAAATTTTCTATATTTCCAGTACTTCATTTGGCTTTTTCATAATGGGCCTTATTCTGTTGCCTTATGTCTGTACTTCCTATATGTTCAGCATTCACCAATCTACCTTGAATACAAGCTAAACTATAGATTACAGAAAATAAGAAGTTCAATAACTCTTCCAGTCTGAAAGATTTCCCAGTACTGTAGCAAACAGAATACTGCACATTGCTTTGTGGGAGGGGAAATATGATTTAACTGACATTTCATCAGTGTCTTGGGAGTCAAAGACCATCTCCTATAATATTGAATATTTAATTAGAACACAACCTACAAATAAGAAAATATTGGCCATAATTTCCCCAGCATCTTGCCTAAGCTGTAACAATAGTTTGCACTTGCAATATTCACCACAGTAGACTCCATTATTATAATTAAGATCAGCTAAGCTGTTTTAGGGAATTTCAATAGCTACTGTCTCCTCCTAACAGATGAACAAGAGAGAGTCAATGATATTGAAAGACAACAGATTTAATGCAGATAACGTACAGAGTTCAATACCACAAAATATTACTGAAACAACAGGTTACTAAACCAGGCAAGATATTAAAGCCTTGTGCATAAGATAACCGCTAGCTGACAAGGGTTAGAAAAACTTCCACCAAAACAAAATCCACTCTGTAACTGCTAATAACAGCTGGATGACAATGGCTGGACTTTGTGTTGCATCCCACTGAGGACTGGCAGCTTTTTTAATCACTGCTTGTATCACCTACTAGGAGAATCCCACCGTGGGGTGCAAAGTAATGGAAAACTAATCTTTGTCTTGAAAATACCTGTACTTCTTGTGTGAAACACCAGTATTAGCACAGATCTGGTTGAACCTGCTTGCAACTCTGATTTTCCATGTGGAAATGCACAGAAGTCAACAGGAACTCAGTTTATGCTACCTACCCACCATATCCATATCGACAGAAGTGTGAAAATGGATGATCCCTTCCAGGCACACCTGGCTCTAACTCCTACTGTACACACCTACAGACACTCATAGCTAGGAATTTGCTGTAATAACTCATTTCTTTCTACAGAAACAGGGATAAGTGAGAACACTGAGCCTTCTACACCTCGCCCACAGTAGAGACCCACTACCCCCAAAACAAACTCTATCAATAAATCCTTTTTACTACTGACATAGACAAAATTACCTCAGCAGAAAATGAAAAAGCAATCCTTGGTGGTGCCACTCTTTCCACGTAGAGAGAACCCAATTTTCATGTGTAACATAATGCTATTAGGGTGAATTAGCCTGAAAATGCAAGAGGACTGAGACTTCTGCAAGAAGGTGCAAAAGAGATGCAAAGTACCCAAAGTGCAACCATCTGCGGTGGAGCCACTTTGGATTTTTCACAACCACACTTAGTCACAACATAATGACAACCCAGGTTGAAGCACTTCAATTTACTAACACCATGAGACTACTACAGGAGGACAAATCCTGCAACCCTTCATCTAGCAAAGTATATTTTGCTGGAAGCTGACCCACATAAAAAGCTGAGGATAAACCTTCTCTGATCATTAAAACAGACACAGACAGATGCTGACACAACAAGCTCCTACCCAGAGCTTGATTCATAAAGGAATGATTTAATTAATATTTCAAATCAAAACCAGCCTTCTTGGTTAAAAAACAAAGCACACACTAACTCCTGATGCTCTTATTTTAAGAGCAATGGTTTTTTACTCAGTTTTGCCTCCAACTCTTCCCAAATGACATAACCAGAACTACAAACAAGTGATGTCCACATAGCAACTTCTACCACAATGACACAACTGATCTAAATTTACACTGACACCACTTTACCTTAAATCAGCTTCTCCCCCATGCACAGGCCTTTGCACTAGGTATCCAATTCCTTCAGTCAGCCTTAGCATCATATATAATTAACCTATGCTTGCTGAACTTCCTCATGAGAACTCCTCCAAGAGAAAGAGACGAAGAGCAGACTCAGTGAATTTCCTTTCCTTGGACTCTTGCTTTACTGTCCTGGTGGGCATCTTTTGGATCTAGCACAGTCCTTGGACAATAATATTTTGTGTTGCTCCATTAACTACTTTGCTTTCAGAATCCATGCTATTGTTCCCCTTTCTCTTCAAAGCATAAAGTTAGACAGCATTTATTGCCAGTAATTTAGCCCTTCATATTTTGTTACACGCAGCTTGCTTCAATGCTATTAAAAGCATTTCTCAGCCAAAGGCAAAATATCAACACTATCCAAACCAGCAAAATTCTGCCACAGATTCAAGCGACCAAATTGTCACTCTGCATACAAACAACAGCGTGCCACTAGAAAACACCAGAAACGCATGAAGAGCATCCCTATTACCTTCTTGCATCAACGCCTGTGACACGCACACATCTTCTGGGTTTGCTAACCATGGATCGCTCCCTGGCATGCAGCAGAAGGGATCCAGCAGAGCCCCACACCGCCAGCCTCACTCCCCCAGAAGTAATCCCTGCTCCAGCCGCACAGCCACCGCGTCCCAACAACACCCTCCGGCGAGGAGGGCAGCCGCAAAACTGAACTTTCACTCCCCAAAGGCGCAGGAGAGCCGCCCGGCACGCCTGCCCGGCCGCTGCCCGAGTTACCGGGGCACAGGAGCAGCGGGAGGCGAGGCGCGCAGCCGGCGGGAGCGCGGGCACCGCGGCTCTGCCGCGCCGCAATCCCGCTCATTGGGCTCTGCTCCCGCACACCGAGCCGCTCCGCACAGCGAGCGCTGCCGAGACTCACTGCCTTGTTTAACCACATCTGTAAACATCAAGTTTTGTGGGGTTTGGGTTGGTCTGGGCATTTTTTTTAATATTCCGCCAAAACAGCCGTTCATTCAGGCCAACGCCGCCCAGCAGGAGAGCAGCTGCAGCGGCGGAGAGGGTGCCGGGCTGACAGGGTCCCAAGCACAGCCCGGCGTTCCATGCTCCCAAACCGGCCCCGACGCGCCTCGGGCGCGCTTTTGTCTGCGGAGGAGAAGGCACGGAGCGCCCGGGCGCTGCCGCCACATCACCGCGCTCACGGGCTGCAGCCCGAAACAGCGCCCGCGCCGCCGCGCGTCCCGCCGGGCAGCGGGAGGAGGCGCCCGGTGCCCCGCGCTGACCCGCTCCGAGTTGCTGCGGGGGCAGCGCGGACGGGCGCGGAAGGCGGCGCGGGGGGAGCGCCGCGCCAGCCGGGACCGCCCGGGCGCAGCCAGCAGCGCGCCCCGCTCCCCTCCCGCCTCTCCCTGCGCCGGACGCAGCAGGCAAGGAACCATCCCCGATCCCCGACCCCCGCCGGCCGCCGGCAGCCCCGCGTTACCTCGGCAGCCTCCCGCTCCCGCCGCCGCCCCGCCAGTGCCGCCGAGAGCGGCGGCGGCAGCCCCGGACCCCCCGCCCCGCCCCGCCCCGCCCCCTGGCGGGGCCGCGGGGGCTCGCGCGCCCCCTTGCCGCGCGCGGGGCCCGGGGGGCGCGGGGCGATTCCCGCCCGCGCGGGCCGTGAAGCGGGAGCGGCACTGAGGGGACAGCGGGACTGAGGGGACAGCGGGGACAGCGGGACTGAGGGGATAACGGGGACTGCGGGATAGCGGGGGCAGCGGGGACAGCGGGGATAGCGGGGACAGCGGGATAGCGGGGACAGAGGGACTGAGGGGATATCGGGGACTGCGGGATAGCGGGGGCAGCGGAGACAGCGGGGATAGCGGGATCCCTCCAGCGCGCTTCCCGCCCGGAGCTCCGCCGCTGGGGGCAGGTGCGGAGTGGGACGGGACACGGCACCCCGGGCTCGCCCCCTGCTCTCCGGACGCTGCCAGGCGCTTCCCAGATCGAGCGCGGGCACCCCCGGTCGGAGCAGCCGTACGCCCGTCCCTCTTTCCGCCCAGCGCAGGGGACCGGGGCGCAGGATGGGCTTACCCTTCCCGCCTACCGCTCACCTCACGAGTGCTCTGCGTTTGGACTGCTCTGCCCGCAGCCTCTGGTTATAGTTGTTCTTCCATCAGACTCTCAGCGCGGCCCCCGTTGGGAACACCTTCGCTGCCGATGTGCCTCCACTTGCCTTGACGGCTGCAGTGACTCTCCGTGCCTTCTGCAGGTGTGTGTGTCCGACGGGGAGCAGAGCATGCAGTGAGAAACGTTAAGACTTCCTGCTAGGGAAGAAATCCCGAAAGAGGGAGAAAAGGTGTGGTGATGCTCAGGTGGGCAACGGGCTCCAAGCCTTCCGTCCCAACAGTACAGGAACTGACTGGGCCTTCAGCATCTTCTCAGCCGCTGATCATCTCAGCTTAGAGACTGCAAAATCTTCAGGAGTTAAAACAGACACAACCACCCTGAATTCAGATTTTTGACAGCTTTAATGAGCGCAAGGAATAATTATGTAAACATTATTAAGTGTTAATAAACACATGTCAGTGTTAGGCACTCTTGTGCAGAAATGTTGATAAAAGCCACAGTGAAAGCTTTAGTCATAATGTCTTTTTAACTTTATGTAGCTGGTGTAATAGGCCCTGTGCACTGCTGTTGCCTCGACGGAAAATCATTACCCAGTAATGGATGAGCCAGTTCGGAAGGAGTGCCACTGGGATACTGCACACTTTCATTCAAAGATGCTATGTATTAGAGGAAGTAGCAGGAGACCTGCCAACTTTCCCAATTTAATTATTAAACTGTCAGTTCCTGACTCCTTGTTTCGACTTCCTGAGGCAACATCTGGCTGTAATAACAAAAATAAATAAATAAAATAAAATTTGATCATTCACTCAGCAGCATTCTCTTTGCAATGTCCTTTTTACAGCAACTTTTATGAAAAGCTCAATATGGGGGATCCAGACCTGGCATCTCTCTGAAGTCCCCAAAAGCAAAGACAAGAACAGTTTCAGCTGTGATCCTCAAGGCAAAGATGTGCAGAAGGCTATATCATATTCTTGAGCCTTTTTTCAACGAATCTGGTGGTGTGCGTTTTAATCTTCCTAATCCTTCTTTTATTCATAAGAACATCAGCGGGTTTTTTTCACTGCATGAATCTGCATGATATGACTCTGGGAGATTAAAAAAACCTCTTTTGCGAGCCAAGAATTTTTGCATTTTCATCAAACATTGCTTCAAAAGGGTAAAGTTGGTTTCAGGAAGAAAAAAAACCATAAAGGATATCAGATTTAAATGCTACCAAATGTGAGCAAAACACTGAAGAGAAGTTTTGAAATATCTGAGACTGTGTCTTCACGTGCCCCCTGTTTCATATGATGTGACAGCTTCAGCTCACAATTTGTTATTGCAGTGGCTTTTGGAACCGAATGCCTCTTTTTTTCATATCCTCACTCAAACACGCACATGCTTACGAAAATATGGATCTATATATGTACACATGCACACGGAGAGACAAATACAGAGTGACTCAGCTCTGCATTCTACTTGCTTAATCAGTTTCAAAGCTTCAGCACTGCTCCCCTGCCTTATTTAAAATGCCTAAGGCCACCTTTCCCACGTTGCTTATTTCAGCGCTGGGGTACAGAGCCTTTGACAAAGCAGGGCCATCTACGCTGCCTTCTGCGGGTCACCCTCTCCTAAAAGCCTTTCTGCAGGTCAGGAGGTCAGCCCTTCCATTAATCACACGGCAGCTTGGGATTCAGCATTCACCCTGCACACTGGTCCTAGACAATCCTCAGAGACCTTTCTGCCTGGTGGTCACTTGGGGCTAAGGAAGGAGATCAAGATCTGGAGGCAGAGGTCATGCAAGCCCAAACTGCAGAGAGATGGTGTCAGGAATGCTGTGGGGTGGCCACCATCGCCCAAGCACTGCACAGGGATTTGGTCTGCCCCGTGTCATGGACAGATAGGAGCTGTAGCAGCTCTGCTGGTGAGTACTGGCCCGGCAAGTATGGCAGCAGTGCCTAATTCAGTGCCTCCATGTATAACTCCCTAGTGCTCCCAGAGAAAGCACTCCTGGTTTTCTCCCTCCCATCAAGAAGTCAGGTAGACAGATCAGGAGAGTCTGAAGTCAACGTTGCTGTCTTTTGGGCTTCTGTCAGATTTTTAACATTAGGTCCTCGGTCGTCTTCTTCAGAAGTTTCCCTCTTCTCATAGCTTGGAGGAACTTGTGGAACATTTTATTGATTTCTTAGCTGCTCTCCACTGGAACTCCTCATAATTCCTTGCTTCCTAAGGCTTCCTCGGGTACTTTTTCTTTTGTATCCCCAGTTCAAGCAGCAGAAAAGCTAACTATCCTGTTAAGTAGGGCAGCCTTTCTTAAATCGTCGAAAGAACTCTGGATAATCCTTTCATACCTGTCTCCCATCTTCAAGTGAAATGACTATGCCTCTTAAGTTGTCATAGGATGGAATTGAATACTTATATAAATTCTATTCAAGATTCTCCTGTTTTCCCTACAGTTCATGACAGATCAGTCAGACTCTTCCTTTAGACTGTAAAGAAGAAAGAAAATAGAGAGAGGGGAGAGTGTTCAAAGTGGATTTTCTGGTCAAATTCTATTTAACATTTTTTCTACTATTTGCCAATTCCCAGGCCTATGGCTTAGAATTATTTTTTAAAAGCCACCTGGGGTTTAAAAAAAAAAAAAAAAGGGAAACAAATCCTCAAAACAAAATGTTTCAAAATGCTCTGAACCAAAGCAATGTCCCCAAGGCAGCAAAGACTATCCTGTGACCAGATGCGGCCTTAGAAACTTCTGTAGGAAGTAGAATTTATACTATAGGCAGGAAAATTTGTACTTCTGTACATTAAGGAGTCTATAATCAATTTCCCTAGCTTTTGCTCAGGAGATCCCGAGACTACTTCTGTACAGAATACAAATTCAGAAGTAAAGAGAAAACTATGCAAAAAAAGAGCAAATCCTTCATGAAAAGAAGGTCAAAGAACAGTTTAACACAGAGAATTTCACAATCTGTTGGAGAAGGTCAATACATGATGGATAAGACTACACCAGATGTATTTGTATATTTACAAATGTGAAAGCAGAAATTAAAGTCTTATTAAAAGTAGCAGCTGTTAATTGCCAGCCTAACATATAGACACATGCTTGGAGAGACTGTTAATTAACTGAGTGAAAAACTAGAGGAATTTCAGCTCTGAGTTACTTGTCATAGCCTTAAGAAGTTTGGTGAGAGACTCTGATTCCCAGGTGGATCCTGAACTGGATAATATTTTTTGGCTATACAGAAGCAATGATGTCTATCTGAAACAGAATTGCCCATGCATAAGGATGTGCTGATCCACTAGGGTCAGCATGAGCAACTATTAAAACAGGCTGACATAAAGAGCCTCCCAGATATCTGTTTTCATATAGTCTGGAGACATCAGCTCATATAAAACTGCAAAATACTTGAGACTCAGAATGTAAAATTGCTTTCCTTAATGAAAAGCTTGCTTTACTGAAGGGGAGAAAAAATATCCTTCAGGATTTGAACACCAGCTAGCAGACAAGAAATCCAGAATCGCACCAAGCATGGAGCACACTTACATGAACATTTGCAACAGCCAGCACTTAGCTAAGGACATGATAAAAATCCCAAGGTGTTAATAATAACAACAACTCAATCCCTAGCAATATTCATAGGTTGTTGGTTGGGGTTTTTTTCTGCAAGATACTGGCAGGAAGGAATATGGAGTCTGTGCACAAAATTTAGAGAATTAATTTTGTGTCTTCCATGTTTACTAGGTTACAGAGATGATGTTTTACCTTTAGAGATGAAAAATAAAGCTGTGCTGCACTCAGACCATCATGCAATAATAACTGATGGTGGCAGCTGAGATTATGGGAGCATCTGCAGCTACAAATACTCATCTGGGACTCCTTTAGGCTTCTGTGTATCATCTGGTCTTCTATTATCTCCTTGGGAATTAAACTGAGCAACACATGGGTGCCATGATTTCTGAATGCTTGATAAAGGAAGTAAAAAAATAAAGCTAATGAAAAATCCAGCCAGTATAACTGATACTGTAAAACCAGCTTTACTAGCTCGGTAATGACTTAAGAAGGGCATGCATAAAAGACAAAGAGCAAAGGCGTTAGAACAGCTAACCCATTTGTTACCTGAGCGTTCTCTCCAATGGTAATGAGAAGATTGGGAGAGATAATTTGGTGCATTGTGTTTAAAGAACAGCTCTTCGAGGTTGTCCCCGGGATGGATTGCCAGGGAGTATCGGGTTGCAAGTGTATGGTAAGACAATATGAAGAACACGGGAGGAGCGTTTGGTGGGAGTAAAAAAAGGTTGTAAAGGTCTCTTAGGATGTAAAGTTGCAGAAAGGAAACCAGTTTGTACGAAATCATGTCACCTTGGCGTATAATGAGTGACAACGAGCTGGAACCCTGATTACAAGGAAAAAGTATACGACAGAAAAATTGTTACAAATACAGAGGTAAATAAAGA